TCAATGATTATTTGTTAAATTAACCATCACAGAAGTTTTTTGAGAGACACATATTGTTACATATTTTTATTATTCAATTGCATTTATTAAATTCTCTTATCCAATATTTGCTAATATTTTTTCATTTTCTTTTAATTGACTTAAACAATTTTCTTTTATAATTTGAATCTTTAAGGTGATTAATTTATTTATCTATTTTATTTTTTTATCAATAATCAGTCTATTAGATTTGTTTTTACTTTGGAGTTTTATATAATTCACAATTTAGAAATAAGAATATATATATCTTTTTTACATTTTGCTTCATTCAAATTCTAATCATTTAAATGTCCAGTTAAAAAGTTCTCCATTATTTGTAAATATTTAATTTTTTAATGGTTATTTCATTCATCATAAGGATAAATATAAATATTATAATTATTCCATCTTCTTTGATATAAACCTCAATAGTCTTCAATTCTGTAATTAGTCATCCACTTAAAGTTGTCAAAATAAATGTAGAAAAAGAAGGGTTCTATGAGGATACATTTTTTCAACTACTTTTTTAAAATAATAGTTCTTTTGCCAATTAGGTCATAGTTAGGAGATAAAAAAGAAAGCCTAAACAATCAGCAAAATAAAATGTTTCTCATAATGTTAAACAAGTTTTATTAATCTAATGAATTGTATGCAATATGAACTTTTGGCCCCTGTACCTCCAATAAATCCCCCTTAGTCTAAAGTTGTAAGAATATTATTCTTATTTATTTTAAGATTGACCATTCTATGTACATAATCAAGAAATTTTGGATCATAATTAGTCTCATGTTTCTATATGAGCTATCCTGGGTACCTGTTTGTTAAGTGTTAAAACTTTGTGCAAAACAAAACTTATTTTCTTTAGCTCTTCAATTTTGATAAGAGACATATCAATTTTGGTTTCAACTTTTCCTCTCCTTATTTTATCTAAAGAAATAACATTATTTTATAAGTAGAACTCTTAGTCACTCCTATTAATGATTTGTTCAAACATATTTTCCTTGAATTAATGCATCTCCAATCTAATTCTCCTTAAATTGTCCTAATTTTACCCTACTGTATGATTAAATCAGATTAATTTGTAAATTAGGGATGATCTTTTAGAGGTTTAGAATTAAAGACGAATCAATTCAAGTATATCTGTATCTACACTTTTCTAGTAAAGTCTAGACGCCTTTCAATGGACTTAACAAAAAAAGTATTCCTTGTTTCCGATGACAATTTTCTATTATTAAATAGTTAGAAGTTTCCAATTTTTCCATCCTTTTTTTCGTGCTTATTAGTTTACCATTCACCGCCGAAACTATTAGTATCCTAAAGCTGCTATCTCATTCTTAATATTGTAATTTCTGTCCATGTTCTAACTAGTGAAAAACAATTTGGATGAAACAGGAGCCGAGCTCATCTTCCACAAATTAAATCTTATTCTCCTACTTTAACTGCCATTCCAATTCTTATCTATACCATTTAATATTTTCAAACCATTCTCCAATAAATTCAAAGTCAATCTTGACAAAGGATAAACTGGAAGGGAAACTCTTTTCTATGACCTTAATTATTTCATCATCAGAATTTTATAAGGTTGATAAGAGGTAAATTATTAAGTATTTTATATAGCAACTTGGGAAAATATATTTAATTGATCTTGGATATTAGATTACTTTAACGATTTTTTGATACTAAGAGCTAATTTTGTAATTTAAGTGTTGGATTATGTCTTATAAATTATCTAAACAGCATAAGTAATTATGTAAGAGAATATCAATACACCTTTTAAACATGAATATAAAATATATTTTCTGAACTAGTATTTGTCTTACCATTATTATTACTCATTGATCTACTTTAAATTTCGACAAATATTCTCTGTATTTATTCAAAATCTTATAGTCAATGATACTATAATTCTTATATAGTGATAATGTTTATGTCTACTCTTATGTACTTATTTGATGTAATCTGCTTGCTTAAGATTTAGTCTTGAGATCAAAATTTAGTCTTTCTTATATTAATGATAATTAATTTTGAATTACTATATGAACTTGGCTATTTTACTTAAGTTAAACAGTTTTACTAATGAAAATAAAAACCATCCTCATCGATGGCACAAATACTTAAAGGCAAAAAAAATTAAAGAGAAATTGAAACCTAAGTGTGATAACCACAAGAATTAACATAGATTTACACATCCCAAAAATTAATAAGATCTCCATAGCAATAATAAAAGAATATATTCTTGAAGTAAAATTTTGCATCTCTTGTCTTCAAAACCGTGAGCATTTATTATCATTTCT